AATTGCTTTAAATTTTAACACGACGCTTGTTCTTTTTAGACACTTTGGGGTCTCGTTCTATAAGAAGCGCCGCTGTGGTGTGCGTTTCCAAGGTTTATAACACGAACTGTAACAGTATTAGACGACATTAGAAAAATAGTATTTTACGATTAAATAGTTGAAACATATTGAAATATAATGAAAACAACATGAAATTTATCTGACTGAAAACAAAATCTCTAGAATTTAACAATAATTCTGGATCATTTCGTCTAGCCTGAAATGTATTGTTATTAATTAAGCGATTTTTTGAGTGTTTTACACAATGTTTTCAATGTTATTTGGTGTTTGGGAAAAATACTCTGCATACATTTTGGAAACTAAATTTATGATGGATGTACAAATTAAAAAAAAACACCAGTGTAGGAAGAAGCTGGTGTCTTTTAATGTTTGTTTAAATTCTATGATAGCTTGATAGCTGTTATATATAATCAAGGATGCTAAAGTAAAAAGAGTTGCCTCCCTAAATGTGCTTTGGTAGAATGTACGTTAAATAAATGTATCCCGACGGTGTCAGATTTCTCGATTTGTTTGGTGGACTGGGGGGGGGGGGCTTCCACCTTGTCATTTTTTAGATGGGGGGGGTGTCCGGGGAACTTTTGTCCGTATCCTATTAAGAAATAGTGCACAGCGCAAGGGGAGTAATAGCGAGGAAAGAAATAATATTGTTTCTTAACAACAATTCTCACTTAATACATGTAGTAAAGCATATTGAAAATATATGCAGGCAACTTGTAAATCGTGCGTTTTGTAAAAATCTTCCTCGCTGTTATACAGCTTTAAAGTTTAGAGGTCGTATAAAAACAAAACTATGGCGTCTGAAGCGGTCACTAAAATTAAATTTGTTGTCGAACCGCTGATATTTATAAATAAATGCGTACACTGAAATAAAGAAAGAACGCATCTATGTAAGTTAAAGGTAAATTGACTAGAATTCAATTGGATAAAATCGCTCCATGTGTTGTATACGTTACAAAGTCCAGGACCGTCAAAAACCGCAAATAGCCGAACAGATTGTCGCGTATTACTACTCTTTGTAGTAGCTATACACACACCGCATGGTGGCCGTGGGTCTTATCTTATCGATAATCGATCATTGTTGCGTTGTGCATTGGTCATATGATTTAAATAATGACAGTGACAGAGACTTATATAGACTCATATTGCATCAATTTATTTAAATTAATAATTACAAAACATCCTCGAACTGTTACGCAAAATCTAAAAAAAAATGTAAAATCACATTTATTTTGCTTTAAAATTTATTGGTATTGTGTGTGAACAGTTCTATCAAAAAACGTTTACTATCTATGTTTTTATCATATAAGATCATTTACTCCAGCATTTTGGTGGCCAGTTTTTGCCTGTTAAAACCGTCGGTTTGATATATATTGTTCGGATAAATATTTTACATAAACGGTGGAGAGCACCGATTCGATGGATTTTAGTTTATAAGGTCATATTAAAAACTACTATTTGAATTGTCACTGATGAGGCGGTAAATCGAACCTGTAAAAACTTTGAATTATTGAATACGACTTGACCACGGATTTGCTCCTAGACTTACTATATTATTTCAATTTTAGAATAAATGCATGCGAAATCCGCTTAATTATAAACCTTTCAGTATTAGTACTTTTGTAAGATGTTAATCAAGATAAATGCGAACTGATCTACATATCCCATACATTTTAATATTTTGAGTGTTATTTAAAACTTCAGGGCGTGTTTTCCCCCTATTAATGATGTATCTCTGGCCACTATCATAGAAAAACGGACAGATATATCTAGGAATGCATTCATTTATCTTAATGAATATATGTTTCCTTACAATATGATTTATTTTTCATTAAGATAATTTTATGAATAAATCTGCGGATGTTTCTAAATTCAAATTTTCACCCTTTCATGTTAAAATGCTGAATTCTGCTTAAGATGGTGCAAGGGGGCGTAGACGGTAGTTTGCACTTGACATTACCGTCCATAAACAGGGTCAATCAAACCAAGTCTGCAACATTTTCAAGTTTGACGTGTTTGGCCTTGAGGGATGACCATTTCCGTGCTTTCATAACGCGCCGATTAATACGTGCAAATTCATTTTTCTTTTTACAATTGAAGACAATTATTGATTGATCGAAGAAAAAAATCTGGAAACAAAGTGATCCACCGGAAGCATTAATCACAACAAAATTACATGAAAATTGCAGACTCGGTTTGATTGAGTCTATACATGAGGGATAATAGATAAGTGCAACATCCGTCACGCCCCTAGATATTATAGCACAGAAAACAATAAAATAAGATAAATAAAATCGGAAAATTTTACATTATATACTTTTAATTTAAGTAAATTATTAACTGTGAAACGGGTGTCCTTTTGATTAACTATACTCACAAGTTTTCACAGTTAATTGGCGATAGTCGATGTCACGCTTTATACAAACATATGAACACCGGATCAAGTAAAGGTCAATGGTTTAATTTACGATATTGATTGAAATTTGAAAGTACAAAAAATACAACATTTCTTCTGTTTTTTGAATGTTCGTATTCGTTTTTCAATGTTCGATTTCGAATATTCAAATATATTTCCCGGCCCTATATTAATTCTTGAATCAATCGTTGCTTACATTTTCAATATGTATAACGAATCAACGAAATTACATGACGAGGGAACCACCGCAAACATACTTCCTTTCCTTGTTGGTTTTGTTTATCATATTTTACAGAAAAAAATTATAACAAATTATCGACGGGAAATATGGGGACAGGGAACATATTCGAATGATGGACCCGGTCAATTTTTTTAATAACTCAGACATGGTGTTTTGAAGGTACTGGAAACTTCTGATATTTCTCTGTCATTGTAATTCTTTCTCGTTTGTGTGTAGGAAACGAGCAGTATTTGTGTTGTTTTTTTACCCGAAACTAAGCATTTTGGTAGCTTTTTATGTATTTGTGACTCTCAGAATGGAGGTGAAAAAGTTAAAAATCAAGCTTTGACAGTTGGCGCCAAACAAGTAAGAAATTCCGGATAAATTTTGTGAAAAATCTAAACGCATGACAGACACTTTATTGGTCATTTTTGAAAATGCCATAGCTTGCACTGCGTGTAAGTGATATTTTTTAAGGAATCGGGCGAATTCTGGAGTATGCTGCACCTTCATGAAGATTGCCAATATTGGTATATTTTAGGTGTGATTTTGGCTGTGTGGGGGTAAATATAAATTGCTGTCAGTCATTTTTTAAGGAGCAATGCATGCAAACTATTATTTTCTTCAATGTATGTCACAAATCATTGAATAATGCTGTGCAACTGGTTATCTGCCTGTAAAACAGATTTTGAAATATTTGGAATAGTGTTTCTAGCCACACTGAATTACAAAATTGCCCCCTATGTGTTTTGATTTAATGCAAATGATGAGTACTCTTTAAGGGGCGGTAACTTTTCCATTTTCGCTTCAACTTGAACATTTCCTTCTTAAATTGAGGTTAGTATCCTAAACAAATGATAATTTCGCGCAGGATTGAATCCCGTATGATTTGATGATGGGCCACTTAATTCTTACACTCCTGCCAATCCTGGTAAATATAGTACCATCAGAATAAAATCAAAAATTAAAACATTCCACAGACCATTTTTTAATGACACTAAAACATTTTACAAAAATTGACAATATTTTCCTTTGGATAGCAATTTAATAATTTAAAATAAAAAACAAAGAAAAAATGTTTTTTTTTTATATTGATAATATTTTGCCATGGCAAACTTTTATGTAATTGCCATGGACTTACCATGGCAAATTCTTTCCATTGAATTGCCATGGCAAATTTGCCATGGCAAAATGAAAAAAAATTAGAGATTGCAATAAAAACATAACAATAGCACCAATAACATGTCATAGGATAAGTTTTAGAATGTTTTGTGATGTTTTCAAAAAATAATTGCCATGGCAAATTTGCCATGACAAAAGTAGGAAGAATCTTGCCATGGCAATTCTAATTTGCCATGGCAAATTATTTGCCATGGCAATACGCCGAAATGCCATGGCAAAACACACTTTGCCATGGCAAATGCAAACTTTCAATGCATTTTTACAAAAAAGTATTAAAGATAGAAAAACAAAACATATTAACTTTTAAACCTTTTAGTAAATATGACAATTTAAGATAGTTTTCTTTATTTTTTAAGCGCGTAAAAATAGGGGTTGAATTTGCCAAAAACTGGCGCGGCAAAAAGAAACCGGCAGCTATTTAAATTGATATTTAACCAATATAAATGTTTATTCTTGTTAAATTTCACAAATGCATTTTGAAAGATAACTAAATATACACTGCGGTCATTTTCAAACTAGAATTATTATTTTTGTATATCTTTAAACCCTTAAGATTTCTTTTTATGCATTGGGGTGATTCGTAAAGGGATATACTGCATAACATAGTTTGAATGAGATAACTATGACCGAAACGCTAGCCGAGAGTTATTGTTATTTCAGAAAGGCTATATTCATCCGTGCATTCCGTCAGCAACTTGTAAATTGATATTACAGTAACGCAAATTGTAATTGAGTAAAAAGTTCATAAGAAAACCTAGCGATTATAAATTTTTCAAAGAATCATTGTAAATACGCACGTTATCAACGACTATGCTAACGCTGTGCAATAAAAAGAGTTATTCAAGTATAGATGTTTCAATCGCGGTTTTACTCTTAACTTTGTTAATTGTTTTGAAGTAATGGCATTTTAATCTAAAAATAGTCATAAAAAACAAAAATATGAGCCAATCAGAATTCGAAAAAAAAAATTTGCGATTTGCGTTATTATAGGTTATTGAATAACTCTGCTCAAGTTGCTACAAAGCAGAATCAAGCGAGTTATTGTGGGAATATAAATCTCCTTTTTATCATAATAGTAAGTTGGCAAGTTTTTCACATTTTTTTTTTCATTTCTATTTTTGTAAGATTCAGACCATTCCTGCGAATTATATAAAGAATTGAAAAGTTGGAGGAATGCAGCGACACTGTGCTTTCAAAACAACGGCTATCCAATTGGATATGAAGCAGCACGGAATGTGACTTACATGGCTCGATACGGCTGGACAGGGATCGTTTGGAGCGATGTAATTTTCAAAGAAACTGGTACTTGATGTTTTCGAAATGACATTAATAAACTCAACTCGCGGCATAATTGAATCTAAATTAAAAAATGATTTACTGCCAGAGAAATAATTATTGATAATTTAGCATTACTTTTGGATGATGTTACTGTTTTCATAAAAAAAGCAAATGCATGCAGCTATTCTCACCAGTAGTTACTGAGATATTCTTATATATTCGTGTATTATTACTTGTCAAATAGAGTAAGTACGATGATATATATAAATAACACAATCAAGCAGTCTAAATAGAGATAATATGTACCTTTTTTAGAATTATACCGGAAAAACATGTCTGATATCAGTCACGGGTATTTGAAATATGAGAGTTCCTTAGGATACGTTTTACATTTTGCAAAACATGATGACGCAAGAAAATATATTCTCTGCAATGGTAAGGTTCTCTTTTAGCATTTTTCTATGAACATTCTTGCTTAAACTATATGAAAAAAAACATAAATACAATATAAGGTTGATGGTATATAATGTTTCCTGTGTTATGAATCTTCTTAAAAGTATAACAAGGCAAATTTCCGTTTTATACAATTTCATCGCGTTTTTAATCCTTGAAAAGCAAGAGTATTGTTTCAAATATTTGCTGACGTTGTGTACAAGATAATGGTATGCATTCGTAATTCTTGCGCGAGCATCAGTCTATTTGTACATTGATTAAAAATTTCGTGAATTTTATTTGTTTTTTTTAATAACATAAGTATTTAATTAGCATGATTCAAATATGATTTATATATTTTCAAAGGTGAACCAGTGATAAAGGAAACAAGTGAGTTCATAACTAGCCACAATGATAATAACCATTTATATACAAAACATACTGATAGTAAAGATAGAAAATGTATTTATTTCTTCTCAGTGTTTAAAGATTCTCTATGCTGAGATTAAAAATGTCAAATAACTGAAACTTTATACACGTATATCAGTCTTTTTCTGATCTTATCATTCGTAACATTTTTACTACACATTATAATATTCACTATAAATAAGTTTAAAAAAAAATTCATATAGTTTTTTGTTATTAAATAAATTTGGCCAATACTTTATCAAAGAATATGTTTTAAGTTGCCTCCTTGCCTATTTACATGAACAGTTCAATTCGGTCATATATAAATTATGATTTTGTAAATTCGTCAAGTTTGTATAAGACCATATAATTTTTTAATAAAGGGGCATTTAAACCTTAAAAGTTTAAGAACTTCTAAAGACCATACTTAAACGACAATAATAGTATTATTTGTACCGTGTTACAGATAATTAGACTGTAGAACAAACATCATGTGTTTCGTTTAGTTGTTGTTTATTTCCATTCATTGCTGCATCCTGGATTGTTGTCGCGAATGATCGCGATTATCTCTTTTTGTTATTATTTGAATAGGGATTAGGATTATAAATGTATTTGGTTTTTCATTTCATAGTGGTAAATTGTTAAAGGACTTGTATTTATGATCAATGATGTATAACGTTTATAATTATCTAGAAATTGCTAGAAATGATTGATGTATTTGTTCTGTTGAATTCTATAGTAGTTTAGAATATACTAGTAATTCCATCTAGTATAATCTTTGATGGTATATATTGTAAGTATTTTGTCAATGTTAATTCAATCATTGATTCATTCTAAAAGGTAAAAGTATTCTGAAAAGTATTATAAAAAAGTATTCTTAAAAGTGTGTTAAAAGTTGATTATTGTAAAGTGTAAAGTTGTTAAAGGTAAAAGAGGATTAAAAAATAAAAGTGAAACACGACAAATGGATTGTTGTGCTTATTTAAAGGATTATAAAAGATAGTGTAAAAAGGATTATATTCCAGTGTGATGATTTTGAACCAGGATTTATAAAATACAATTATTGCTCTCCCATAACAGAAACTAAAAGAAACCTATAAAAGATCATCACATTGATTGGCGCCGGAACCCGGGCGGAAAGAAAGAAAGAAAGAAAGAGAAAGAAGGAATAAATAAAAAAAGAAAATATACATAGTCGACAAGATGGAGAGTGCACAGTATTTAAAGTCAGTTCGCACACGTTATCTCAATATATTAAAGAAAGAAATATTATGTGGGAAAGATATACTTAAAGAAGATATGTTATACAGACTCAAAACAGTTAGGAATGAGAGTTAATAAGTGTTTGAACAAACTACAAGAGTATTCCACAAAGCTTCAAGACCAGTCTGCAAAGTTAGCTTCAATTGTCGGGGAAAAAGAAAAGAAGAAATTTATTGAAAGTATTGCAGATGAAACTTGCGAAATATGTGATGAATCATTTTGACATATGTTGTTCTCTGCAACAGCTTGAGCAAGAAGCATTGGATTCGACAAAGGTCAGAAGTCAAAACACAAGAAGAGCAAATAAAGATGACATCCACACAAGCAGATATGCAGAAAATGTTTGAACTCCAAATGAAATTACAGGAACAATTTTTTGAAAGACAAGCCGAATTGAAGTATGGACATTCAACTGGTTTTAAACTACCAAAAACTAGACATTATGCCATTTAATGGTAATAAGCTTAAATGGACAGAATTTTGGGATTCGTTCGAGAGTGCAATCCACAACAATAGCAATATTCCAAATATTGAAAAATTCAATTATTTAAGAAACAAGCTTACAGGTGAAGCACGGAGTTCAATAGAAGGTCTTGCCTTATCGAATGACAATTATAAAGTGGCACTAAAGATTTTACATGCCAGGCACGGAAATAAACAAGAAATTATTGATTTGCATTACAACGCTTTAATGGATTTACCTCCCGCACAAAACAACACCTACAGTTTAAGGACTTTTATTGACAAAATAGAAATACATATGCGCAGTTTGGAAGTTCTAGAAGAGGAGTTAAACCAAAAAATCTTTGTTTCCATGATCAGAAAAAAATTGCCCCAAGAAGTTCTTTTACAAATGGAACTTTTGAAGGAACCAAAATATGAATGGACCGTGCATTGCCTACGAGATGTGCTAGAGCGATACATTGAAGCATTGGAGAAAACAAAAAACATTCATCAAAATCCATTGAAAAGATCAGAATATATAACAGATAAAAATTGTCAATATCGCGACCAAAAGGCAGCTTCATATGGATTATCAGCCAGACCAAAAGTATCCAAGGAAATGTCAATGAAGTGTGCATTTTGCAATAACACACATTGGAGTGATGAATGTCAAAAATTCAAAACAATTGATGAAAGACAAAGACAATTGAAAGGTTGTTGCCTAAAATGTTTGAAAAAAGGACATTATTCATCAGATTGCAAAACAACAAAGACGTGTGTATATTGTGGACAAAAGAATATTCACCATAGAAGCCTATGCCCAGAACGGTTCCAAAGAAAGGCTGTATATGAAAATATTCAATTGGCAGAGGAAAAAAGTTATATATCAACAAAACAAGAAGAAACAGATGCAGGACAGACTGAAAATGTTTTATTGGCGGTTAAAGAAACAGTACTAATGCAAACAGCACAAACAGAGTTGAAACAACCGAACAGCAGAGGTAGTGTTAAGACAAGGTTGCTTCTTGATTGTGGATCACAAAGGACCTACATTACACAACAGATGGCAAACAAACTGGGACTTGTACATGAAAATGATCAGGAAATAAGAGTGGTAACTTTTGCAAGTGATAAAACCAAAGTAATTAAAACTAAAACTACAAAGGTTGATGTTAAACTTAGTGATGAGACATATATGACTATTACAGCAAATATAGTTCCAAGAATTACAGCCACAATTCAACGACAACCTGTAAGAATATCTGACAAAGAACACTTTAGAGATCTTACACAATACATAAAACTCGCTGATACAATCCCGACACATGTTCAATCAGACACAGTGGAATTACTTATTGGAAATGACTTCTATCTAGATTTTGTGTTACACGAAAAGATCAAGGTTCAGCAAGGACTTTACCTTCTAGCATCTAAATTAGGTTGGATTCTTACAGGTCGCTCAGAGACAGGCGAAATAACCCAATTATCAGATTTGAACATGCTTATAATGACAGAGGAGAATTACAAAACGTCTGGAGTATTAAGAAGCATAGACAACTCATTACAGAGGAAACCTGATCTAGATGATTTCTTGAACCTTGAATTTATTGGAATAACAAACAAAAATGATGCTAACAGGATTGATGCATATGTGTTGGAACGTTTTAAAGAAACATTAAAGAAAGAAAATAGAAGATATCAAGTAACATTGCCTTGGAAAGATGAAGGATGAATTCAGCCAAGGACAAAGAACAAGTCAAGAAAAGGGAAATACCTTTAAAGATAAACAGACGCAAAAGCAAGTTGGACTATTAAAGCTCAGTTATGAACGACTAAACATTTAAACAGTCTATTATTAGAAATGGTCTTTTAACTGTTACTACTTTGTTTAGGGGGAGGGTCGCTTACATGCGAAATTTTGTATATTTATGTAAATCTTATTTGTCATAAAATATGTTAATGACAATTTACATTACATTATGTATTTTGTATAATTGTTGTAAAAATACTTATACATATTTTTTGTTTAGGCGGGAATGTCGCGAATGATCGCGATTATCTCTTTTTGTTATTATTTGAATAGGGATTAGGATTATAAATGTATTTGGTTTTTCATTTCATAGTGGTAAATTGTTAAAGGACTTGTATTTATGATCAATGATGTATAACGTTTATAATTATCTAGAAATTGCTAGAAATGATTGATGTATTTGTTCTGTTGAATTCTATAGTAGTTTAGAATATACTAGTAATTCCATCTAGTATAATCTTTGATGGTATATATTGTAAGTATTTTGTCAATGTTAATTCAATCATTGATTCATTCTAAAAGGTAAAAGTATTCTGAAAAGTATTATAAAAAAGTATTCTTAAAAGTGTGTTAAAAGTTGATTATTGTAAAGTGTAAAGTTGTTAAAGGTAAAAGAGGATTAAAAAATAAAAGTGAAACACGACAAATGGATTGTTGTGCTTATTTAAAGGATTATAAAAGATAGTGTAAAAAGGATTATATTCCAGTGTGATGATTTTGAACCAGGATTTATAAAATACACAATTATTGCTCTCCCATAACAGAAACTAAAAGAAACCTATAAAAGATCATCACAGCTGCATCCTGGATGACTTATTATTGTGATCTAATTTATGACTATGAATAGTGATGCTAGCTTTTTAACTGTACATGATGTTTTAGCTTGTTAATACTTAAAACACTTTCAGCGATGATAAGAACTAAAGCACACTCATCAATCCCAATGTCAAAAACGCCAGAAACACCTGTTACGCCGACTGGCGAGATGAAAAGGTCATCTAATGATTCATCATTCGATGGTATAAGATTTAAGACAAATTTTACACTTGTTAGAATTTTCTTGTTAGAGTGCTATATTTATGTACTCAGCGACAAACTACAGTAGAACTTCTATGAGTCGAACTTCGAATAGTCGATTTTCTCGATGTGTCGAAGAAAAATGAAAGTCCCGACTTTCCCTCCTATATATTCCTTATAAAAACCTATTTATGAGTCGAAATTTTATGTGTCGAATTTTTCGATGTGTCGAGGTTTTTTCGTGGTCCGTATAAAGTAAATCTAGTGCAATTTACCACAAATAAGTCGAAGTCGTTGGATTGTTTTGACACCTTTGATCTCGAGACATTTTTCACACCTTATTTGGCTGCGAAGACGATTTCCAATCAACTTGTGTGATAGGTGTTAATAACACAGCCCGTGTGTTCAAACAGCCTTTGTTTGCGATAAAATGTGTGATAAAATGCTTTAATCGTAACCATTTTAATTGCCGTAGTGGTATTTGACTAATTTCATTTGAAATCATCCTTGACCCGGTGTCGCGTGAGAATAACACGCGAAATATTTACTATAAGCTGGTTTAGTTATCGCCCTTTCGTATTCATACGCCTTTTGTAACTCTTTTGTATATGTTAACGGGTAGTCCAAATAATTAGCCGTGAAAAACGTTATTTAACATGCTATATTTATCATTGCAAAATGTAAATATCAGATTAATGATTGAAAAACATGAAATAGGTTTCGTTATAGATCTTATAATTAGGACTAGTCATGGGGTCGAAATTTTGTCATGGAATTGAGAGCGATTCATGAGTCGAAGTCCCGATGTGTCGAAGTTTTTACGCAAGTCCCTTCAACTTCGACTTACCGAAGTTCTACTGTAATATGTTAGTATTTCCCATAAGAGCCAAATCGTATTTGTCTGTCAAACACGATTAACATACATATGTTTCTAAAAGTATGAACTCTTACGGGATAACATTCGTATGCATTTTACTCTTTCGAAAAGGTTCTTTTTCTGTTAAAAGTACTGCATTTTTATGGCAAAATAACAATACGAACATAATATCAATTAAGAGTAATTGATACCTTTGAAACAGCAACAACAGCAATGATAGATCATACACTTATGTCTTTACTTTCTAAAGCATTATGCACGCTAATGTCTTTTCAATTGCGCATGGAATTTCTTAAATTAATTTGATAATTTTTACATAATTATAGTGTATGATTAATGATCGGAATGTTTTCCCTATATTCTTGTCAATCATACCAATGCAATGTAACATATATCTGGTGTTTAATATCGACCTGTAAACCATTTAAAAAAGAGACTGAAATAATCATTATAACTAGTATAATTTTGAATGAATTGATTAGAGTTTTGATATATAAAAAGAGACAAACGCTTGCACTTATCCAGATACATTCAAATATTCGATATCTTCCTTTTTCGGAAGCTAATTTGCTTTAACAGTTTTATTTAGCTTTTTAGCATTATATTTTCTTTTATTTATTACTTGTTTTACTTGTATCATTCTCTCTTTTTCTAATACTGACTTTTATATATCTGTTTTCAGACACTGATTTAACTGTTGTTGTATGGGTATCAGTTTCAGCAACACTGCTTGTTGTTATCATAGTGATCCTACTGGTTTTAGTCAAACGGTAAGGTTTATCAAAGAAAATTTAGTTTTAAGAAACCTGTATATGTGGCTTTGATCTTATGGATTAATTTTTGTTACCATTTAACATATGCCGTTCAATACATTGAAATCATGACCGTAATTATCTACAACTCTTTCTAACTGCAATTTGAGTATTTCAAAATAATTACAAAAAGTTAACCTCATTTTCTTACACAAGTTTTGGTTTGATATTAAAGGAGAATACAGTTTTTGTTATTTTACCGGTATAAACTTAAAAAATTGCTGACACATTGTTATTACTTTTATTAAAATATAAAAGCTAACAACTTAATGTATTTTGTGCTTTGTGCATTTCAAACTGTATTACTTTATTAATGCAAAGATTTTACATAAACCTTTTTTAAATTGGACATATTTATCAAATAAATTTAGGTGATGAATTCTTATTAGGCCTTAGAAGAATGAATTATAAAGAATTACAACTTAGAATATAGAATCTCTTGATGTTTTTTAACTTTACGTACCAGGTTACACATCAGTATATTTTGATATGAATTAAAATAAGATTTACTATAATTATCTACTGAAGTATTCAATAAGTGATTTCAATTTTTGTACAATCCTTTTTTGTTTTGATACATTCTTATAGGAAGAAACGTATAAGCTGTACTAAAGAGAAGAAATCAACTGAGGTAGCTGATCAAAAGCATACAGAGAGTAGAAACCGTGACTCGCATATAAACCGTTCATACGATTTTGTTGATGATGAATGTATAGATGCATCTTTCAAAGGAAATTATGATTCACCTGATAACACTTACAACATGCCTGACCAAGATGAAGGAAACCCTAAAGAAACAACAACATATGACATCGCTGGTAACGATAGAAAAGCTTTAAATCAGGAACAAGACAACATATATAATAAATTTCAATCTAAAAACACTCTTATCTACGATCTTACAAGTGATCAATCTAAATCTGAACTGCGAGCATTTGATGATGCATACAACAAAACGGAGGAGGAATCAATGAATACCATTGAAAAAAGTCCTTACAATCATACCAACTCTGATCCGTTTGAAAGAAAACCAGCGGACCAATTATATAACATTGCTAGCTTTCAGTAAAATATTTGAAAAGGAGCACGCACAATGAACTAACATAAAATCATTTAATTTATGAAAGATATTATAGAATGTTATGCATTATTTATAGTTATGAATAAGACAATCCTGAGAGTTATGTCGACCCGTATTTTATCATTTTTTTATGTAACGCAAATTCTTTCTATGTTATGAGGCCGCTTTAACACAATGTCGAGGAATGAACGTAAAGTATCATACTTCATTTTATGTGACCTCTTTGTGACATTGATTACACGAAAATTATTAAAGACATGCGTATTTCTTAACAGACGATGATAAAGATGAAAACCAGCCTACATATGCCATGTTGGCATCATGAGTGTACTTGATAACAACTATACATAGTAACAAACTATGCAATTGAATTATTTCAAAGGCATTAATGTCCCTGGTCTTTTGTATGGTCCCTTTTACATTTCACGTCAATTACTTAATATTAAAAGCTTATTTTAATATTTGTTAAATACATACATGTAATGATACAGGTTATTAAATTTACACACAGATAGTGATCGATATTTGCAGTGTTACTGCAGCAATGTCAATAAAATGCTCGCTATATATATGTGTCCTCCAAAAGTTCTTGTACAAGCTATTTTTGATGTTGTTTATGCAAATAAAATGACGTAAAACATAATTTAAAATGCAAGTAAAATGATGATCAACTTGGTAAAGTATTTTTTTAGTTTTGTATATTCACAAACACAACAAAATTTGAAAACAGTGAACATCAACATGATGTCTTTTTTAAAGTACGTATCTTCCCTGCTCTGACCCTTATTTCAGCTTAAATCCTTTGTGGCATGCGTCTTAAAATTCTTTCACATGATTCAGGGCTTACTGAAGCCACTTCGAAATTCACTTTTTGTTCAGCTCACAGAGATTATAGCTATGCTTATTTTTGAGTTCAATTTTCACAATCTGCCACATATTTTCAAAGGCGTAAGGATCAGGTGGATTTGGTAGGCCATTCTAAACACTGAAATTCATTCTCCTCCTTAAAGCGTACATCAAGTCGCGATATATCTCGCATCCTTAGGGATGAAGTTATAATCACATCCCAACAAATGCACCGAAGGTATGGCACAGTTTTGAAGAATGTGAATTAATTAAATCGACCTATACCCACACTATCACACAACCAATTTGACAACTGTATTAATGATCTCTTGATTGTTCAACTGAACGTATGCGAACATAGACACGCCCATCATTTTGGAATACATAACATTTAGTGTCATCTGAGAACATCACAGTGGACCAATTAACTCAAGACAAATCAGCATCCTCTCTGGTAAAGTTCAAACGGAGTTGCCTCTGTTATGATGATAGTGAAGGCTTCTCTACAGCAGATGGCCATAAAGTCCCGCTTCATGTAGATAACGCATCACTTTTGTAGACACAAACATATTTAACGTATGCTTATCTCTTCGAAGCACATTTACTGTTGCTTCCATGTTTTGCAAGGGAGCTCACACTAATAATCAGTCATCTCTTTTGTCTGTAACGTTTGGCCCATCCTGTCCCAGCATGATCTTTGTGGGTGTCTGTGGCCTCTTACCATTTTAAAATGTGGTAGACTATTGGGTTGAATTTAACAAAAGACAGATTAGAAAAGACAAAATTATAACAGCAATATTAATACTGCAGTAAAAAACATCACATTTTAACTTAAGAGTTTGAACAAGAAAACATTTTTATAGATATAATATGTTCAAATTTGATAATCAAATATATTGATAATTGCTACACAGTCTCTTTGTAAACATAAAATAAACATATGTTTTTGCTTCACACATATGTTCAAATTTGATAATAGAAAATGTTGATAATTGCTACACAGTCTCTTTGTTAACATAAAATAAACATATTTTGACTTCACACATAGTAGATAAGTTATGTTTAAAATACCATACACTATAGGTGGTCAAAATATTTACTTGACCGACCTACAATAGGGAACGTAGCTTCCCGTACATAGTTCATTCATTCATTCATTCATTCATTCATTCATTCATGCATTCTTTCATTCATTCATTGAAATAAGACATATTGAGTAAGAAATCAATATCATAGATTTCTATTATTTTCTGTGACTAATCTATTTTACTCAAAAATTGGCATGGTATATCTTTAAAGCACACTTATTACTGAATCTTGACTAAATGCTTATATACGTTATTACCTTTTTTCTTGCGCATGAACTTGTAAAAATTATTGAGAGTTTGCCAGTCAATGATAAACTTTGAGTATGTCCAAGGACTTTTGGAGGGCACATGTATAATTACATGTATAAAATTACTGGACGGATTATATAAAAAAGTTTGCATCACTATATGCTTAAAAAAACGCAAAATTAAATGCAATTACGTAAATTTATTGAAGTAAGTACAATAAACAAAGGTGCAGATATTTATTTTATTTTGGGAATAATCATCTATATTTATAAATTGCAATACGTTTTAATATTCAGCGGCGACCTTTTTAGTTTCCTAATTAAAACACACGAAGTTTTAGGTACGTCACATACCATATTTATATAATCTCTAAGAAAAATCTTTGAATCACGCGCCATTCTAGCCTAAAAGTTAATGTGGGTCGGAATCTGGTTCAGACCATAGAAATGTTCATCTTTTTAAAGATGAAATTTGACATCTGTTTCAATTGTGTATGCAAATCACATCTGTTTTATTGACTTTTTGTGGGATAATGGACAAGGCTTCAAGCGGGATTAAATATATCGCAATATATCGCAAAGGTTATAAGTACTTAATAGCTTTGGTATCGTGGCCCCGCAAAAAGCATTAGTGATAATTATCTTCCAAATCTCTGCGTGTATGTCGACATAACTCATTATTTGCCGAACAAATGTTTTATTCGTTTTAACCTCGTTTTTGATTCATATGCTATTAGTATATATTTTAACTTATTTAAATTTAAATCTATATAAACCTATAATGTCTGAAACTATCAGAAAATCTAAACTGGAACAATCATTTCCAGTGATTCCCATATTCTTCTTCGTTAAATCTGAGCTATTTTGATTTATGAAAAACACGAAAATGGCGAAATATACAGGAAACACTTTCAGGAGAGGATAACACAAAAAGAACAGAAGTGACCTCTTATTTCTATAATAAAGTTGTTTCTTTAATCCTGCAAAGTTAAAGAAAACAAAGTTGTTAAAATTTTAATTTAGTTTTTAATGTAAAGTCAATGCATATTTTGACGATCAACATTTCAAAGGTTTAACGATGTTGGGCTTTCTTTAGGGATTCTGTATTTATATATTTTAATATTGATATTGTCAATATCTTCTATGTTTTAAAGATAGAATTTTTAATACCGATTGAATTATCCTGCAGGTGATTGAAATTTATCTTTTGTACTTTGGACACTCATGGTTGATTGTAATGCGATAACTCGGTTTCGAAATCTTGCTTTTATAGAAGTATCCTATAATGTAAGAAAATACGTATATGTAAATATAGCTAAAACTTCCGAAACAACGCATTTTAAGGCGTGACTAATTAGATTATATCTTTACATGTACATACAGCTTAAGTGTGCAGCTACTTATGATTTATATACTCACATCTTCATTAAGTTTAAACAAAATATTCTTTGAAATAAGAGAAGTTAAAATGAGAATGATGAAATGGATATATTTATTCTTTTTACCCTAGTTACAATATTTCAAGGTAAATTTCGGTGTATTTTACTTCTTTATTCTAATAAATTACAATCGTATTTAAATACATGAAAATGATTATCTATTAAATCTATAGAATGATCATGCTTAATGCTCACGTTGTTTAAAGTGTAACCTATATAAATTGGATGGTCTCTGTAATCAGCTTTTATCCTATCCAGGAAATGTAAAGATGTTCAGTTTTTAATAAAATATCTTTTACAACAATATGTCGATATTGCTATTAATAATTTTAAAGAACCTTTTTGGAGCCCCTGTTGAACACGTGAATGTATCTATTCTTGGTTCTCATGTTAGAGCCCCTGTTACAGGCTAACAAATCTACTTTAATAAATTTGACGCAAAAAAAAGACTAGATTAACGTTACGAATAAAATCTGCCTTTTAGATATCTCATAAAATTTAAATGTTTTAAAAAATAAAACAAACTTTTTGGAAGGACATCTTCAGCTTGTTGATATGTATAGAAAAACTCTTTAGATAATATTTTGTTATGCTTGAAGTTTTTTTTTTTTTTTGGGTTTTACGTCACACCGACACATTATAGGTCATATGGCAATGTTCCAGTTTTACCGGTGGAGGAAGACCTCAGGTACCCTTCTGTGCATTATTTCAGACATGAACGGGCACCTGAGTAGAACCACTGACGTTCCGTAAGCTAGCTGGATAGCTTCCTCATATGAAAGAATCTAAAGTCCCTGTCGGGATTTGAACCCACGGGGGTGAAGGGCCAAGTGGTTTGAAGTTAACGACTTTAACCACTCGGCAACGGACGCCCCATGCTTGAAGTAAGGTCTAAAAAATAAAACATAAAAGCAACACAACAAAATATGTAATGGACATTGAGGGAATTTTTTTATTAACAAAGACATGATAATTTTCGTACAGGCACAGGCATGTGCCCTTTACGACCATTCACTTTTTCCTTGCACTGGTGTCTGTACAAAAGTAAATCCAATTTTTACTGTTTCTTTAAATGAATTAGTACTTGCTTCTGTGGTGAAGCATTGAGATTTAAAGCAAGAAATATTTGTTAATCAAAAGCTGTGTGCATTTCTGAACAATTCCAAAGGAACACAAACAATTATAACCAGCTTAATTATAAACATCTCGCACCCGATAAGATCGTCAAATAACATTTCGATGTATGATCTGAAATTAATGCCGTGATGTCATAATAAGCCAAACTCCTCTGGGTTTTATGCAATTTTAGAGTCATGGTGTAATTATGTTTCGAATTCGTCATTATCATGGACAAAGAAAGGAAATGAATGCGAAACAACACCTACCATACAGTATGATAGACAAGAACATATCGTTATAACGCATGGAAACATTATACAGTACGGAGGAAAGTAGTCTAGTACTGGTGTAACTCTCCAGGAACGATGGTTAGGAAGCTACCCGCCCATATGACTGAAACACTGACACTGTTGGGAAAAGGCGTAAAATGAAACAAACAAACAAAACATTATACAGCAGAGGTTTGGGTCGGTTGCTATCAACAACTGCTTTTGTTTGAGTATTTTGGTTAATTATTTTACATATTAAGAATGAACTCTTTTCTTTTGAACATCTACAATGTCTAACAAATCTGAAATACTTTAATAATTTAAGGGGGATATGGTGTATTTATGATGCACTTTGACTTCCGGATATCAGAACAACTACTTTTGATGGGAAATAGCATTGATCATTACTTGAGAATCGTTAGCTGCTTCCGGAACAAAATTACCCTAGAATTATATGATATTATATTATATACTACTCAACTTTTGCTAAGCACCATAAGTTAATTTATATATAAAACAGATTTCTTTTCAATTAAAAAAAAATTGATTCAGCAATGTTTTAGATAGTTCCCTGACATACATCCGTGTTGACTAAGCCGTTACAACTCGTCTAGGTAGCATGGAAAGCATGTACTCCAATAATTGCTATGTTTTGATGGGGTGAACTATCACATGTATTTTGTTATTCGGCGACATTACAAAATTATTGTCTTTCAATGGCTTACATTTGGCAAAATTTGAGAGAAGCAGAGTAATGTAGGGCTGTAGAGATGGTGCACAGGGAGCCACCTTCCGCCAGGTTAGTGCGGCACTTGGTGTACACCACACCGTTATCACAAGAACCTGGGATAGATACTGGCTACATGGTACACCCGCCAGGAGGCATTCTGGAGATCGGCAAAGCATCATTACACCAGCTCAGGATAAGTTTTTGCCTTTTTTGTCGTTCAGACACGTCGTGCAACGTGCAAGGTTTTCGACGGCAACTTCTCTTTATCTGCATTTGTTTAACATACATGTAAAAATTTGTATTTCTAGCTTTTTCCCTTTGCCAGTGTAGCTCAAAATTTGTATTTCTAGTTTTTTCCCTTTATTTAAGAAAGTCCTTTGTCAAATCGAGTCAAAATTGCAACTGTAACTTCAAATTTGTTTTTCTAGTTTCTTCCTTTGTTTAAGCAGGTCCTGTGTTTAATTGAGTCAAACTTTGTATTTCTATTTTTCTCTTTACCAATATCACTCCAAATTTGTATTTCCGGCTTTTCCCTTTGCCAATGTAACTCCAAAATTGTATTTCTGGCTTTTCGAATTACCAATGTAACTCCAAATTTGTATTTCTAGTTATCTGATTCTGTTAAATTTTGTAATTATGATTTTATCCGTCTGCAAGAGTGTAACTTAAAGTTTGTATTTCTGGTTTTCTCCCTTCGCCAATGTAGCTCCAACTTACCACTACGGAGAAATGTCCTTAGGTAGACTATATTTTGAGTTGTGGTTGCACGAGAGGTGTTGCTTTGGAAAGAGTATAATTTATTGTCAAGATGCGGTGGGTCTTGTTTCAAGTTCTTTTATGCAAATTGGATGATCAAAAGTGTTTTCATTTCAATAAGAAAAAAAAACACAATGTCAATTAGAAATCTCATTCTTATGCTTGTAAAGTTAAATGGACACAATTCATCAGAGTCATTGACTTTTTTTCTCAGAGTGAAACATATAAACTTTGAAGTATAACAAATCAATACAATTACTAAGATGTCAGTATGAGCACGCGACTTGCATTTCCAGATTTTAATACTTTACAACCGCAAGTGTCAAGAGACGTGTGGCAGCTGTAAAACCTTATCCCATACTTTGCTTCAGTATTTTTTCATATTTTTCTGTTCCTTTGGGATCATTGATTCCAGCACATTATTTGTTGAAGCTGGTACTAGATGCTTGAGATGTTGCACTTTAAATTATCGCCCATGAACATACTCAGTCAAACGGAGTCTTGAATTTTCATGTAATTTGGTTGTTTTCATTGCTTCTGACGGATCCTCCCATCTCAAGATTTGTAATTTCATTGACAATTAGGGTTGGAATCTGGCCTTGACTATTAATAATTTTTTTCATAATAAGATTTAACCAATATGGAATTGACATTGAGAAGAAAAATATTGTAAACGGAGTTTTTGAAACAAATGTCTACAACTTCGTGAACACCAGTCCGCTCAATTTACCACTTGGCCATTGAGCCTTAATCAAGGTTTGACGAATTGTTAAGTAAATGTTAACCAGCAATACTATTTTATAAACGTTCAAATAGTACAAGTGCGCGGAAACAGATAAGAAAATTCGCCGAAGAGAAATCAATTACTGTCAATATGATCACTTATAAATCATATGTATAAATTAACTCCATTTAAAAATATGACTTAATGTTAAGAATGAGAATTTCACAAACTTTCTTTAATTAGTAACAAAAACTCCAAATTTCATTTAAGCCTACCCCCGTCCACTGTCGGAAAAAATGTTTTCATAAAACTGCAGCTAATATTTACAAGTTACGAGTATGTTCCATTTGCGTGTCTATTTATACAAAGAAGAGAGGGAAGAGGAGAGAGTGCTTGAAATTGTGACACATAATACAATACTTTATTTATTGCTAACCGAAAGGAAGTGAAGACAAAATGAGCAATACTTCAATATATATATATATATATATATATATATATATATATATAGAAATGAGAGAATATATACACACATACCACCACATCGATTATGCCAGTCCAATTACGGCACAGCGCCTAGCAGAACAGTCATGAAAGCATAGCCACTGCTCATCCACCATCACAAAAATGATGGTTTCATAACAGCTTTATATACAGTCACAAACTGCACTACACATTGAAACAAGCTCAACATTCACATATATAGAGTTTGTTCTCTGTTATCATATCTCACAAATCAACGATGACATTTTTATTGTCTTCTTCACTGATTGGGACCAGAGAACTATATATCTATTTCCGAAAGTCAACTGGATCACGTAAGATCAAGTAGATCCGTAGGATACAATGAATTTAGACAGATAAAGTATATATAAAGGGAGATAATTAAATTCAATACAGTTATACTTTCCCCTGCGTGGGATCACTTAAGATACAAGTGTGCAGATAAATTGATAGAAATGAGAGAATATATACACACATACCACCACATCGATATGCCAGTCCAATTACGGCACAGCGCCTAGCAGAACAGTCATGAAAGCATAGCTTATATATATATATATATATATATATATATATATATATATATATATATATATTATATATTATATATATATATATATATATATATATATATATATATTTATAAATATCGGCTTAACCTTCCACCAACATAAAAACAAAGAAACGAACGAACAAACAAACAATTAAACATAAATGTAAAATTGCATTTCTATCTCAATTCCTGCCGATGGCGGTCTGTTTTCAGTTTGACTTTCTGTAAAATGTACAAGGAATAAGAGTTTTCATTGGTCATTTTGAAATTACAAAATGAAATCCGGGAATCGCAATTCTAAATAATTGTGGACAAGTTGTGACAGCTGACACCCGAGTTTTAAACTTTGTCTTTTGACTGTGTTTATTTCAAATGCCTTCAGGAAGTAAAGAGTGCTTGCGTTCTCTCTAATGTTTAGGAATTTATCTCGTGTATATACTTTTAGAATGTACATATCATGACTATCTGCAATGCACATAATGTAAGTTGTTGGATACTTTTATTGATTATCTAAAATTTAGGTTCTATTCAACAATACTTTTTGCATTTAGATCACATTACATTTTCTAGTGAACAGTTTATTTTACAAAAGAACTTACTGAGTTATTTTACAAAAGATCTTAAACTTTAGCCAAATAACGAGAATAATATCAGAGCTTAGGCACCCTTAGTTTATTATGTTCTATAATTAAGTGTCTTATACATGTATATTATAATTATGATTATTGATGTGTTCAGTTGATATAATGTTTATATATTTTGTTCAATATATTGTTGCATTTTAATCAAATACTTTAAATTTAAAAATAATTTGCTTACCGATTACGTATATGTTGGTGTTAGAAATTGAGTTCACTTACCGAAACACGACATGTTCGTTTAGAAACACATCTTAGTTAAGGTGTTCTATTTTCCAAGATAATAATCCTACAAGAAATTATTATGTCATTGGTATAGAAGCTATGCTCTCATTTTTATATGACTTTGCATGGAAAATGAAAAACAAACATATGAAAGTTAACCATTTTGACTTCGGCAGAGTATCTTTTTATAATTTTTTATATTATATATCAAAGAAAGTATCGAATTCAGAAATCGAGAATCAAGAAAGTTGGGCGATCTATATTGACATTAACCTTTATGTTTTCAAGTCTTATGAATTCACTTCTACATCTTGCGGTAATTTAGTTTCAACTTTAATTATTGTGGATAGATATTATCATCCAAGTGCATCCAGCACAATTGTGAAACTTGATTACATTTCATCAAGTTCATATCATAACATTTACCTCAAAGGCGTTTTGGAAGGAATTGAACCTGAAATGTAAATCATGAAAATAAATTTATTCTTTCTATCTGTCCTGGTTACCCTATTCCAAGGTAAATAGTTTTTGTTTTTTTTTTATTTTGTTTGATTCGTTTTGAAATCAGTATTCATTGCCCCTTTATCAATATATTAATTTACAAAATATTATGTTCAATCATCGAAATATTAATAATTTATAATCTATATGGCTTCAAAAACAAGCAATGTATATTCAGACGTCGATGTAATACTGACTTCTTTACAAAGGGGTGAGGGATTTCCAAATTAAGTTTTTTTTTGTGAATATTCAATGTTTTTACAGAAGTTTGTTTGAACTTTATTCGAGCACGTGGGTGCATGTGTTTGTAAGCTTTGATTTTTGTTTTCTCATTTGCTTCTTATCTTTTATGTTTAAATATCTCCAACAGCGTGCTTCTTTATATGATGACAAGTCGGTTTTAATCAAACTTCTTTTTACAATGGGGCGTTCGTGGCCGAGTGGTTAAAGTAGTTGGTCATAATGCTGTGGGTCGCAATTTCGCAAGTGTATGTGGCTATCCAGCTAGGCTGTCCTACACAGGCGTTTGTTTGCACCCTAAATAATGCACGGAAGAGCACTTAAGGGTTCCTCCACTAGTAAGCTGTTAAGTCGCCATATATGACCTCAAATATGTTTGGGCGATGTAAAACCCGGTAAAAAATGTCAAATATTTCACAAATGATTTTCACAGGACACATAATAAACATTTGAAGCACAATAAAACAAAAATAGCCACGTCTTGTATTTGTACGTATAAAGCTACTGCAATTAAGAAATTTTATTTTCATACCATTTCAGCTTCATGGTCCTACTATATTTCAAATACAACACTGCCATGGTCAAGGAAAAGAGATGGATGCAATACTCGTGTAGCGACACCTACCATACTATATGGCCACAAAGACCTTACCGTAGATATGAATGGAAAAATAACAAAACAAGAAGTCTGGGTCGGATACTATCAACAAACTGCCTTGTTTGAATACATAGGTAAATTCAAATTGAAATAACAAATATCTATGTACAACTTGTACCATGATATTATAATAACGCAAACTGTTATTGACGACAAGTTCATAAAAACAAGCATTTTTAGATTGTTTTTTAGACGGGAAAAATGCGACCGTTCACGTGAACGCCGCGCAATAAAAAGTGTAAAGTCATCATAAAGTGCTGAAAGACATTAGAAACAGCCGGTCATATATATGATATATACGTAAGATCTTCTAATCAAATATCTTAGAAATGAATTATCATGTTATTTTGTTATTTAGGGTGCATGAGTTCAGATGACTTAGATATACAAATACCCCAATTACAACTCGGTGAACTGGATATCGGACGGTGCTATTCTGCTTGTTCCCACTCGCCTTATATCGGGATACAGAAGAATAAGGTGAAGCATTGTTTTTGTTAAATATTGGAAACAATAATCTTATTCAATGTTGATTTTTTAAAGAAATTAATTTAAAGTATAAATGTTAACAAGAGCCACCGTTAAGCGGGGACACGTTTGTGTTGTTTTTTTGTTTGTTAATTTCTAAATCCAAAACATCGGATAAGTAATAGAAAGAGCACCGAAACACGAGGATATCTGATTTGTACGAGGGGGCGTAGCCCCCGAGTATAAATCAGATTGCCGAGTGTTTTGGTGTTCTTTCTCCTTTGTATCATAGTCAAACATGACAGCACGTTCCCTGTTGTCATAATATGAAACCCCAGAAAAAATTAACCAATGAACGAGCATTTGAATATGATAGTTCTGCCCCTTTCCCTTTCTCTGCCGTCACAATATGTAAACCCCGACAAAAATGAACCAATCCACGGGCATTATCTGGAGTGCGGGTAACTGATACCCGCACTCCAGTTACCGCACTGTGCATGTATATGTATACGATTTAACTCTGACACTTTTTCAACAGAAAGGTACCCAAACTATGATACAAAGAATATTGTAGCAAAGAATTCTTCAAAACAAGATCATTTTGTTTGCAAAGAATATCATGAAAAAATCATATTTGACATTGACAGTTAATGCCATTTACAGATTTAGGTCATACTTAAATTATTCATCATTCAGCGTGGTTTTGTACAACCTATCCATATAATTACTAAAAAAGTTATGGTTATTAAAGAAAAATTCCAAACATTTGAACAAGTCCGTCAAGGTCAGTTTGGGTTTAAGGTCAAGCTTGAATTTAAGCAACATGTTCAGTTTTAATTTCAGCAAGTCCAAGTATAAATTTAAACAGCAAAAACATAATATCATTTCTATAACTACGGCAAAATTTAATTAAAATAATATTTTCACCTTCATGATCAAGATCATTTATGGTCAAGGTCTTGTTTGATTTATACAACACATCTATTGTGGCGTATAAAGTATAGATCTTTTACGTAAATAACAATTATGTCAATTTAAACTATATTAAATAATATGACATTCATGGTCAAGGTCATTTAATGCTTAATATCATATTTGAATAATTCAACATATCGGTTAAGTCAAAAGTAATCTTCTGTCAAAGTATGACTCAAAGCTGTATAACAGTGCAGCATATTTTCAACAATTCTACACGCGAGGTCATATTTTTATGATCAAGGGGAGAATATTTTATGATAATATGACATGATGACCATTTGCCGGGCGCTTGTGGTCAAGTTGTGACCGCTGACCCCAAGTTTTAAACTTTTTTTGTGACTGTGTTTATTTCAACTGCCTCACGAAAGTAAAGAGTGCTTGTATTATTTCTAATGTTTAGGGTATTATTTCGTGTAAATACTTTTAGAATATATATAACATGACTGTGGTGTTTTGATATGTGATTACTAGTAGGTTCTTCGGTTTAACTGGCTGTAAATGAGTATCAATAATCGGCTTATCTAGAAATGATTTTGTTAAAATAGACTACTTTATGAAATACCTATTACTAGAATAGTTTATGAGCACTGTCTAGATAAACCATTTTTCTGTCTAAAAAGGCAGATTAGCAACGGTTATAACGTTTAAAGACCACAATGGTGAAATCATGTGACAAAAATTGTATGCCTCTTGAAGAACCCTTTTAGAACAAGGAAGGTGAACTATGATTTTTGTTTAACGTGTGGAGGAAAACCTCAGGAGCCTATATGAATATAAGTTCAGGGACGAACGGATACCTTAGTAGAACCACCATAGTAACTTTACATGGGTATATTTAAAAGCTCTTCAGCTTGCCTTACCGTTTATTTAATTCTGAAATGAAAGGCACTGGTACTAACAAATACGGGTAGCATCTGCCTAGTTGTTAAACTGTTAAAACAGAGAATCTCGGTTCGATCATATGACACATTTTCTAGTCCCGAGAGTGGTTTATTTAAGATATTGGCTTTTATCTCAATTGGACTTAGATAGATATTTTAACGTAAATTCAAACGAATCGAAATCTATCACACAACCCTTCCCCACTAAAATGACATTTTATTTTATAGTTTTGTAGATGTTATTCTGATATCTTCATGTACTTTAATATATATATATATATATATATATATATATATATATATATATATTATATATATATATATATATATATATATAATATATATATATATATATATATATATATATATATATATATATCTCACAATAATATTCTAGTTGGTTATCTATATAAAACATTCTCCAACACTTTTTCGAAGAAAAAAGGGGGTCAAGAAATGGGCTCTGACCATCTGTACGTTCGTCCGTCCGTCAGTCAGTCAAACTGTCTGTCCGTCCATCACACTTTCATGGCCGGTCAATAACTTTCACATCCATCAAGGGATTTTGAAAATACTTTGCAAAAATGTTCACAATAATTAAACAACCCGTCATGCACATAATCAACTACCTCCAAAGTCAAGGCCACACTTGGTAATGATATATCAACATTATCTGTTGGAGGGTATATCTCGGGCCTGGTCCAAAAGTTTCTCATCCATTATGGGATTCTGAAAATACTTGGCACACATGTTTGCAGTCATGAAACGACCTTACATGTGCAAAACTCAGATGCCTAGCTCTTAAGGTCACATTTAGAGGTCAAAGCTTAACATGGACTGTTATATGGTATATTTGTGTCCGGCTCATAACTTTTTCATAGATCAAGGGATTTTGAAATTACTTAGCACGTATGTTCCCATAATAAGACGATGAATACGACGATGTGTCATGCGCAACAGTCGGACCCCTACCTCAAAGGTCAAGCTCACAATGAGAGATTAAAATATTACATGGTTTATTATAGGATATTAATGTGTCCGGTCCATAGTTTTTATCTTTCAAGGGATTTTGAGTTTAATTGTCACAAAAGTCCACAATAATGGGGCGACGTGTCACGCATAACAGCCGGAATCCTACCTTCAACGTCAAGGTCAAATTTAGGGCTCAATTCTTAACATTGTTTGTTTGTTTGGATTTTTACGGCACGTCAACACATAACTGGCCATATCGTGCCGCTTAACATTGTTAGCTTGTTAGCTTAGGCTCTATTTTGTGTCGGGTCAATAAATTTTTCAGTAACTAAGGGATTTAAAAATAACTTGGCACAGATGTTCTTAATTAAATGACGTCTGTTACAATTAATAATGACAAGTCATGCCTAAGCAAATAAAGTCATTGGAAACTCGCCAGTATACCTTGATCGATGAAAAAGTTACGGACCAGTCAAGCAATATACCCTGTAACAGACCAAACCCTGTTTTGATTTGTTTTTGTCACATTTTGTGGTTTTGAAATAGCGATATCAACTAAACAAATGTAATTTTGTTGACACATACAAAGGAGTTATTTCATTCTATACATTTGATGAATTTATTGTTGCATGCTCAGATTTAGCATTGATTTTTGAAAGTTCGGATCCATACCTCAATCTTTTCAAATAGCACAAGTTTGTACTTTATGTAAAAGGGGGACATAGGTCACTCTGTTACAAATTCTTGTTTACAGTGTTATTGCTTACCAGACAAACCTAAGGAAAACATAAGACAACTTGGCTGCAATTATGGGTGTACAAATAACGCTGCTTGTGGCGGACTCAGATTCATTTCAGTGTACAAAATGTTATCTCACAACGGTACGTTAAGCACTACGTTTTGTTATTTTCTTAGAAAAACTTAAATCCAACTCATGTAAATTATTATTTAACGTTGAACTCCAAACCCCTTGCCACTCACCGCTCTTGGTTCGAATCACACGAGGGATTTTGGATTTTTGTCATGTGAGGAAGCAATCTAGCTTGTTAAAGGAACAGCGGTGGGTCTACTCAGGTGCCGGTTTGTGCCTAAAATAAAGCACGGAGTGTCTTCTACCACTAGTAAAGATGGAAATCATCATAAGACATATTCTCTGTGTGTGCTTCCATCTAGTAATATACAGTAAAGTAATGAAGTGTTTTGTTTTAATTGGCTTTTAAGCAATACCGATACAATATAAAAGATACATGTAGACTGTCCGGGAATATTAGTAGTACAAGATCTCGGGTACCCTTCCATGTCAGAAGTACGAGCTAGTACCTGAGTAGAACCATCGGCCTTCAGTAAGTTAGCATTATAGCTTACATGCTATACATGGTAGAATAGAAAGTCCGTGGTGGGAGCCGAACCCGCTTCGATGACGGGCAAGTTTTTCAGGAAACAATATGACGACTCTACAAATGTTTCTATGATTTAAACTAGTGCAAGTCACTGACAAGAAAGACGAACATGTATATGGATATCGAATGTTTATACATTTCCCAAATGTTTGGTCCACTTGTCTTAAGTTTTATTTTCGAAATTTCGATTGTCATTCGTATAGAGGGTTTACACCTTCAACTATGTTTATTTTATTTTCTGTAGACTCTAGACACATTCCTGAAAAACAAGAGTACAACAAAAGCTGTCTCAGATTAGATATTGCCAGAACAGGAAGTAAAACATATCAATGGAGACTTTGTTCCGACAAAATGTGGGTATTTTGTACGTTTGGTGAGTTTTGTTTCTTATTACAGCTAGTATGACTTACTGTGTAATTTGAAAATTATTTCGATTTCTTCGTTACTCAACATTTGGATACATTAATTTTGAAATGTAATTTGATGAACATTAAATATAAGGAAAAGACAAACAAGTAACCAGGGGAAAATAACGACAACTTTGTTTCAAATTGCAAACCAGCGCATTAATTTCTTAAATGCATATATTATTTGAAGCACTGGCTTAAATTCGATTTCTATATCTTGCTACCATTTTTTTCCTCTTAATTTCGTATTATATGTGCGTAAAAGTACTATACATTATTAATCATAAAGATATCCAACCGATCATATGGTTCAGTATAAAAGTGTTAACTTATATGACCTTAGTCGTTATATTTCAAACAACTGTGTGCATACATACGTGAACATACACATTAGTTAGAACCACCTTACACTCTATACTTGTTTATACCATGATTTCTACATTCTATGTATTATATGATGCATAATGAAAACATTACATTGGTGACTTATACGTTCATTGGACTGGGTGCTATAATTGTACACATATATATGTATGATTGCTACATGTATTTGTCTGTGAACATGTCACAATAATTAACAATTTACTTACTTACAACCATATAACCTGTATGTCAGTCATCTTCATAACGAATTTAGAATACAGAATAATTACATTAATTATGAAAAATAAAAACGATTGTTTTTATAAATTGACAGCAGTCGTTTGGAAAGTTAATAAAAACGTAACAATTTATCAATGAAAAACGACGTTACAAACGTTCTGTATGATTAAACTGATGTGACCTTGCTACAAAAGACCGATGGTAAGATTTCAACTCCTTAAATTCTCGGGTTCATTTTCAAGAATTTTCAATTTCAACCTCAACAATAAAGATACAGAATTCACGAATTTAAGATTTCATAATAATGAATTCATAATTTTAACTACATGAATTCACTATTTCAACTTCCTTTTATAAATTCACGTCTTGAACGTTACGATTTCAAATTCGTGAATTCAAGATTTCAACTTCGTTAATTCACGATTTCAACATTGTGAATTCACATTGTCAACTTTGTAACGCTGAAATCTTTAATTCATGAAGATGAAACCGTGAAGCCATAAACATGAAAACATGTTCATGAAGTTGAATTAACAAAGATAAATCATCGCGAACTTGTGAAACTGATATTGTGATTTCGTGCAGTTGAAATCGCGAATTCGTGAAGTTGAAATCGCGAACTTTGATTCGTGAAGTTCAAATCGTGCGGGAATTTGTGAATTTGATATCGTGAATCGAGCAGTTGAAATCGTGAATGTAAAGTTAAAATCGTGAATTCATGAATTTCATGTGTTGAAAATGTGAATTCACGAAGTTAAAATTGTGAATTTACGGTGATGAAAAGATGAAATCAGGAATCCATGAAGTTCAAATGTCTCCACCGGTCTTCTTACCTTGCTTACATATACTGCTGCAATGCAAAATGAATCAGTAGCAAACACAAATATGTTAAACGTCTGATATTATATTCTAATTTTATTCTTTATACAATAAAAAAATTTATGTTGTAAATTTTCATATTTATAATTTTCTGTATCGTTTAAGATTCAGACCAATCAATCAAATTTGAAGTGGAAAGGAGAAGATGGAGGGACGCAGCAACAATTTGTTTTCAAAGACATGGTAATCTAATTGGATATGAAGACGTGCGGAACGTGACTTTCGTGGCCAAATTAGGCTGGACAGGGATCGTGTGGAGTGATGTAATTTACAACGATAATGGTATTTGATGATTTCCTGTTTTAAAAGAATATTTGTAAACGCAAACAAAAACACCAAGCTAATGAAATCCAAATTAAAACAGATCTCAGATTTACTGCAAGTGAATTTATAACTCAATATAAAGAATTTGTTTTATATGATGCTAATGATTTTGCAAATTAAAGAAGAAAATTGTACGCATTTTTTTCACAAATTATTACTTAATATATATTCTCAAATATTTCTTGTATTATGAAATTAGTTATTTACATTTTGTTATTGATTATTGAATTAATATTCATTTATTTAATAATTTAATCATGTTAACCCTTAGGTTGCTGATGTCAACTGATTTAAACTATGCCATCAGTGCAGACCTAGGTCAGCCATGTCGTCTGGCCATGCTCTGCACTATTTACTATTCAGACAGTACATGGTGTATAATCACGTGGTATATTGTTTAGTTAATACAGCTAGTAAACATAATGGCGGCCAGCCCGTAATTCCGGGGGTAATAGTGATACACAAATTAGTAAACAATCAATTACTTTTATAGTTACTTGTGACAGGCACATACACTATTTTAATATACCTTGGAATGCGTTGTTTAGGTTTATTTATATTATTAATATTTATCTATTTAAAGTCATATTATGAAAATCATGCACAACTTTAAAATGGTGATAGACAAGAACCAATCTTAAATGGTAATAGTGAGAAAACTTAAATATGCACACCTCTAGATGAGCAAAACTATTTTAATAAAATCAAACCTAAGAAAAATGTATTAAAATTTTAAGAAACGTACAAAGATTCAAAGTTCTAGTTATAGTTATTCTGCAGCTTTTCTAACTAGATTTCAACTGCTTTACTAACGCAATACGGGCTACTTTTATATTTTGACCTCTTTTTGGTACAAGGGTTTAAGTATCAATAAAAGAAATAAAACATATTTTAACCCTTCAAGTTTAAGATACATATGAGTTTTATCCCCCAGCATACACACAATAAAATCAAAGAACAGTTCAATAGTCATAGGTTTGAGTTAATAGCACACTTACGGTGAATGACATCCAGAGTTTTACAACAAAGGTCCCCTTATGGTATAAGAACATAATTGGTCACTCAATAGGTTATACAGCATCGACCTCATATTGCATACAGCGACAAATACTTTAAAACATTTTAGTATGTTCCTGTCGTCACTGCTCATGACGCTGTGATAGTTCGCATTACTATGATTGCTATGTATGCTGTATGTATAATAATTATGTTTAATTGTTATAATTCTTGTTTTCTATCATTGAGGATATATAACGCAATTATATAGTGTTTGTTATATGAACTTTAAATAAATATTGTTGAATTTATGACTTAATTAGGGTATTTCTGGATCATCCGTCATACAAATCAAATTTTTCTGCAGGGTCCTCGAAAAAACCACGGCTTTAATGGATAAAATTTATATGTGACTAACTATTACCCAAACAATCGGCCACGTGCTTTTTGTCTATTTAAAAAGACATTTAGCGTGATAAGGGCTAATTTTACTTTTGTCATATAATCAAACCTTACGAGTTGAAGGCACCGGATGTTTTATGTTACGTTATAAATTTGTCATTATTTATTATGCTTGAAAGATAATTTTATTGGATTATATAAATTACGCCATCAAGCAGCTTATTTAATGAACTATTTATTTATACTTATTGTAGAATACCGGGAAAATTCGTCTGATATCAGTCATGGATATTTGAAATACAATAGTTCCATCGGTTATGTTTTACAGTTTTCCAAAGATGTCACCAGCAAATATATGCTCTGCAATGGTAAAATCTCTTTTAAAGCATTTCTGAATATCAGAACCATTACACAAGTCTTGTTGATAATATATTGCCTGTTTCCTATGTAACGAATCTAATAATACTTGAGTAAGGTAAAATTAAAATCACACAATTGTAATGAGATTAACATCGTTAATAAGCAAGAAAAGATCATAATTATAATTTATCAAAACCAATGCTTGCGGAAAGTAAATTGCTTAATATGTAAACATAAGTAATATTTAAGCGATAAACGTAGTATGTGTATTACATTCAGTAAGTAAGTAAGTATGTAAGTAAGTAAGTAAGTAAGTAAGTAAGTAAGTAAGTAAGTAAGTAAGTAGGTAAGTAGGTAAGTAAGTAAGTATGTAAGTAAGTAAGTAAGTAAGTAAGTAAGTAAGTAAGTAAGTAAGTAAGTAAGTAAGTAAGTAAGTTAGTTAGTAAGTCAATAGGTAAGAAGGTAAGTAGGTAGGTAGGAATGTAGGTAGGTAGGTAGGTAGGTAGGTAAGTAAGTAAGTAAGTAAGTAAGTAAGTAAGTAAGTAATGTTTTTATTTACTGATGCTACACATTTGGTTACCAAATCTTCCATGTGGGTCTCATGTAGTATTTTATAATATAGTATTTTTGTTGCTTAGTTATGTTACATTTCTCATTGCTGTGTCCTGGATGGCTTATTGTTGTAATATAATATATGATTTTATCAAAACCTTTTGGACAATGTTTAAACTTTTTCATACTTACAACATATTTCCCTTTATTGTTGTATATCATATCAATGCATTGAAACACATATCTGGTTAGAAAGTTA